ACACCAATCGGAATTACCCACTCGAATCTGTTGCTGACTGCAATAATAAGTATATATTTATAATACTTATTCTGTATGAATTTAGAATATTGGTACAAAATAATTTTATTGATTTTAAAAGAACAGTTCATGGGATAAATTTAACAAGAAGATGGGAAAGGCGACCCTTAATAAATGTAATTATTGATAACTTTGGGATAAATGAGTTAAAACCATTTTGTTTTTACAACGAATAAAAAGATATAAGCGTTAACCGTAACTCATCTTCAAAACATTTCCTTATTGTGCCTCTTACTCTCTAAAAATTTGATAGGAGGGGCGGTAGTTTTTAAATAACAATCTTAAAATTAATATATTCCAATCAACTTAATACAGACATCAACACCCAAACAACAATTCATCAAAGCATGTATTTTTAGCAATAACCGATAAATCTTCAAAACAACGGGAACATTCTGCGCAAAAAATTAATTGCTATTCCTACAACAATAAATAATAAAAAAAAATAATTTCTTATCTTTCAGTGACGTAACTCAACAATAAGTATCATAAAATAAAATAGGTTTTTTATCTATATTCCTAATTTCATTTGTATTTTATAAATATACATAATGTACCTACTAAAATCGAGATCTATTTTAGCTCATTTACTTATTAATAATATTAAAGATATAGGCTGAGTAAATAATTATTTGTAAAGATCAATGACCGTTTAGTGCGAAATAAAGACCCAGACAACCCAGACCACGACAAAGCCAAAATAATAACAGCAGCATATAAAACACTAAAATCGTAAAAGAGAAGCGCTCGAAATCAATGCAAAACGAGTATTGACGTCGCCGGGCCCCTCATATCTTCAGATAACCTTAATTAATTGTATGTCGAATCGTTTAATTGGCATCTTAAATTAGTTTTAAAATCGAGTCTTTTATTTGCACGACTCATCAAGATATTTACGGTATGCACTTGTATATTATTGGTAAACAGCTACTCTTGGATATCAAATTTATTTAAAATTGCGAAAGTGTGGATGTACTTGGATAAGAAATGGTAATTCAACTGCGCATATTTCATTTTATATTTAAATTGTTTAAATTAAACAATAAAAAATTGTTTACAAAAAAGATACAGGAATAAACTTATATTTACTACGTTGATATAATATATCAATTGATACATATTATGTATCAAAGGACTTCAGCACTATTATTTAAAATATTCTATTTATCGATTCAGTTAATTAAATGATATAACGAAGAATAATCTTAAAATAATGTTTAATCTGTTCCTATCAATGTTTACTTTCATTTAATAAAAAAACAATTAAATGTAAAAAAATCTTCGCCAAAAACTAATCTGTTAATTAAGGCAAGGTCGGCTGATTATCAGCTACAATGTTGTGTAATCTTACAACAATAAAAAATCACTTAATTTCTTCAAATTTGTTGGCAAGTAGTAACAATAATTACGCGTTAATTAGGTTAAATTAAAAATATACATGCTTTAAATGTTAATCATATTTATTTTTAATCTTTAATAAAAATATATTTTTAATTTTGACGTTTTAAAAATAACTAAGAATATCCCAAAACCGTTATTTAATTTACCCACAAAAATGAGTTATGTTTATGTAATAACATAAGCGCTATATGCCCTCGTTTGTTATCAGCGATGGGAATTATATTCGTTGTTATTGTAAACTCAGTTGTAAACAGGTTTCAGAGTTATATTTAGCTATAATGAGATCGTGAAACGCAATTATTTAATTAGTACCCTAGATATAACAAGATTAGGGTTGACTTGTAAAATTTTTAAAACGCATTATTTACTACAAATACCGAACGTAGTACGTTTTGTTATTAACCTAAAGTTAACAAGATAAGAATACATCTCATAAATACGTATATCCTAAGTCTTATTGAAAATTTTGTTTTGTATTTCCTTGGGTTCTTTTCTAACTGTAAACAATTTTGACAGACTGAGACAATTTTGACTCTACAGGTAATCCAAGCGTACGCACCAACAACCGCCGCTGAAGACGTAGAGGACCATGTTTATTGTCGTGATGGGAGACTTTAACGCAAGGAAATGACAGACCCAACGATCATTGGCTACTGGATTACTTGAGTTCAGGAGGTCTATTCTGCATGAACACTCAAGAAACCACCCCAAAGGAAGAAGACATGAAAAGCCTAAATAACAGGGTAAAAATGAGATCGATACCCTCATGGAGGAGCGTCAAATAAATTGAGACGCGGAAGGATACAAAGCCCTTAATAAGATCATGCGGAAAGATCTGAGAAATCATTGGTTCTTCAAACAAGCGGAGACAATACCTTGCGAGTTATTAAAAAAGGCATTAATTCATATAGCACAAATACGAGTAATAGAAAATTGTGCACTTTGGATCAATCTTGGAACAACATCAATAAAGCAGAAATAAGGACTGCAACCGTTATCGCAGTCTGCATCCCAGAAAATATAGCTACAAATGAAGACATTATGTATAAGGAAATCATGATTTCCCAATAATTTAAACTTACTTCTTAACGTTGTACAACCAGTACTTCCACCTCTCATTATGTATAACATTCTTATTTCTTCTGATTATATATGATCTATTATATTTTTATTGTAATCATTTTGTATGATACAGTTTTGTGACTTCCCCAACGCAATTGTTAATCAATTTCTCCTGCATAAGTTTAGTATGCGAACAAAACCCAAATTCAGTATTGTTTTTGAGATGTTCATAGACACAGCTGGTTCACAGTACGGGTTCCTTATTATTTAATTACAAAAAGACAAAATATGGAAAGACGATCATGAAATTTTTGCGAACTTCAACTTTAGGAAATGCACTTCAACTTGACACTACATCAGTACCACAAAATACTCTTTTGTCAAATACAGATACGAAGTAATTGTAGTGGGTGAGTCACGGCTCTTGAAAAATTACTTAATACAATCATATTTCAAGATTTAAATGGTCATAACGCATTTTTTATAATCGGTTATGACGGATTGTGAAAACTCATTTGACATTTTGATATTAAAGTTCTATATTTATAGCAAAATAATTGAAGTTAAGCCAGAAAATGTAATTTTTGTAATACTTAAAACATGTATACTACATTACTTCATTAAAAAAAAATTGGCTGTGCCTCAATGGTAAGACCTAGCGGTTTGGAAAAAAATCCATGTCTGCCACGTGGGCAAGAGAAATAGCTGGAAAAGGGACGTAACTGTCATAAAGAAACATAAAATTCCTGCTATCTTGGAATGTTAGATGATCAGCTATAACTTTAACACCATCATTTGAAAGCTTGAATAATGTGGCATCGTTTTGTTTTGCGACATTTCTCATATTTGTCATAATAGAGAGGAGGTATACATGGAGGAAAATGGATGGGACACTCAAAACTTCTGGTTTAAACAGGACGGAACCACTTCTTAAGCGGCCCTTACACGATCAATAGTATTGATAATACAACCATCAATCCTCGTGGTAACCAGTCTCAATACTTCACTACCTTACATGATCAATATTATTGTCAATACGTTTGCTCAATACCTTTTTACCGAACAGGGTGAATCTATGTAGTTTTACTCAGTTATTTGCCGATTTTTCCCTTTCAAATATGGATAATCGTACAAAAGCTTGTGTAGCTATTATTTTGAAGCTTGGAACTACTCGACTAGTGAAACGCAAACACAGGATGAAAGAATGGTTGAAGAAGAGAGATGAATATTCTCATCTAGTACTGTTCAAAGAAATCAGTCTCTGCAATGTTGATGATTTCAAGAACTAAGATGGTTGAACCATTTTTGAAAAGACAGGATAGCAATATGAGAAGAAGTATAAGTGTTAGGGAAAGATTAGCCTTAACCCTGAGGTACTTGGCCATAGGAAAAAATTTTGAAGACTTGAAGTTTTCTGTCATAATGTCCCCAGCAACTATCAGCAAAGCTGTAATAGAAACCTGTGAAACCTTTATATATGTTCTACAAGACTACATGGAGATAGTTTGTATTGCTCGATGAAATTACGAAGAACATGTTGTTCACCATCATGGGAACTGGATGAACCAACACTATCTCTCTCGTGTTGTACGTCAACGTCAGTTAATGGGTCGATCATTTTCACCTCTTCTTCACAGACGCGCTGCTTGAACTAAACTGAGTGTAATGTAGAAAATCAGAATTAAACCTGTTTTCATATCATCTGGGCTAAAATAACATATGTTTTTTCAGTGTGTTGATAGACATGTTTTGTTATTGCTACAATTAAATAGAAGTATTTAATTTTGAATGTTGAGTATTACACTGAGTATTCATGGAAATATTGGCGCCAACCCTACACGGTCAATAGTATAGTCAATATCCCTCCAATTTTCAGTATTGATGTCCGAAAATCAGAAAATCCGGATTTTTATCAATACTCCATCAATATTTAACGTCATTAAAATTTTTCACCTTACACGGTCAATATTATTGTTAATATGCTAAGGTATTGTCAATATTATTGATCGTGTAAGGGCCGCTTTACACCGCGATAGTTTCAATGAATTTCGTAGTTATAACATTTCCATGATACCTTTAACAGCCAGGAATCTGTCACCTTGGCGTGATGAAATTTAACGAATCTTTGTCATTTTAATTTTTCTTTTGCAGTACAATAAAACTTTCGTTCATTAATTAGAGTTAGTGCTTTTTTCATCCCCGTATCGCCAAAATTAAAGGTATGGCGTCGATTTCAAATGTGTTGAGTCTCATCTATGACTCTTATCTTGTTGATATAACTCATGATTACAACCATTCACTAGCGACAGAGTCTAAGACCCAATCTGATTTCTTCACAATAACTAACTACATTTATAGTAAAAGAAGAAACAAGCTAAATAAATTTAAATTGTAATGACATGTAATTTATTTAATAAAAAGAACTTATTTAATTCATTTAAGCCATTAATTCTTTTTTACTTTTATTTCATATATTATAAATATAAATACAAAGATTAATTAAAAAATTAGAAATTTATATAAATGAAAAGAAAATTCACATCTGAACCAAAATTCTATCACCATCTTGCATGGAATAAAATCCCAACTCCTTACAATCATCATTCAAATTAATTTCAATATTACTTTTAGTATTGCTTGTATATATCAAGGTTGGGCGATCGGTTAATTGAAATAATTTTTGCACCAAAGTGCCTAATTTTTGAACCAACATAGATGGAGGTAATTTTTTTCTAATGATTCGCTCGTTAAATATGATTTGTAATTCGGTTAATGTACCCTTTATGATTTTTGAAGTTGTTTTCATTTCAGATTCTTCAGGCATTCCATGTTCTAAAAAGAAATGTTAATTATTAGGATAATCAAATATAATCAAAATTATTACTTGTTATTAAGTCGTCGTATCGATTATGTTTCTTTAAAAACTCCTTTCGTTGATCATAATCTTTTAATGATAAATACTCCAAGCCATATTTTTTTAAATAACGATATTCAGCGCCACGTCGTTCATCCGATTGAAGAGTAGTTCCGTTAAGAACTTTTAAATTTTCTAATCGGGCTATTATTAGCTCTGTACTAATAACAAATGATTCCTTATCCAAAATAGGGTTGTTAATAAATTTTAAATCCTCTAGTTTTTGTAGTTTGTTTAATTCTCCAACAGATTCCCACTAAAACCCAATTTGCTTAGAAGTAAATTCAAAATCATAAATAAATTCTTACATCATTAATCAAGTTATTTGTTAAAACTAATTTTTTTAAATGAGAAAAATCTATGATTTTTTCTTGATCCTCAAAATATATTTTATTCAATTTTATATTTTCTAAAATCATCTGTTCCAAGTTCTTTAAAAATTTTAATTTTAAAATTTCCTCCCAATTTTGAATTAGATTGTTTTCCAAGTCTAATAATTTTAAATGAACCAATTTATGATCTTCTGGTGTATCCAATGTGGTTATATTATTATTGGGAACTCTTAGTTCTTCTAAATTAGGAAAAATTTTTCCCAGTTGTAAAACGTTATTCCAGGTTAATTTCATTGCATTACAAATTAATACTCTTACAGATCCGTAACAATAATCATCTAAATCTGGTGGAAACTCTAAAATATTTTCACTAACATTTAACCACTCCAAGTTATCCAATTGAGAGCAAATATCGAAAATTGTTAACCAGCTTTTTATTAAATTCTTTGAAATATCCAATTCTATTATATTTGGACATAATGCTCTTATACTACCAGGATCGCCGGATGTATAAACACTTTGTAAACGTAAATTTACAACTTTTAAATTCCAAAAATCACTATGTATAAAATTTAATTAAAATAAAAAATGTGTTGCAAAAAAATTACTGTATATACTTATACCTTTGTTTATCTGTAATTTTATCAAACCCAACCAACTTAAGAAAGGGAGCATTAATACATTGTTGTACAGATTGTAACTGTTGTTCATGAAGTTTTGCCGTAACGTCATCATCATGTCTTCCATATCGTGATGTTAAAGCCGTCACAGCAGTTTGGCCCAAATTAACTTTCTCAGGACGTACGAATGACCCAGATGTTGGAAAACTAACTCATTTAATATATTTATAAAGCATTAATTTTTTAATACTATTTTTTTACCTAGCTTCAAAATAACACACCCCCTTGATTGTTCCATTGTGTTTCCCTCTTGTTGGATCATCCCAATCTACTCCAATCCAAATCCCTGCATAATCGCTAACTTGGCCTATATATTTAATTGTTCCAATGTACCCTAAACATTCTATTCGATTTCCAATTACCGGTGTTCTTTCACAGTTGTTCAACATCATTAAAACGTTTTATAGGTTATGTGGTTGGACATGGGTGACATTTAAATAATTTTTGACGGGTACTTTTAGAAGTTAAGTTTATTTCTATTTAGTATTAAATAAATCTATTAAATTGTTATTAAAAAATATTAATTAAAAATAAATTCTAATTTACAACGTTTAATTTTAAATATACAACCAATAGATGTCACTTTTATCACAAATTTTAACTGAAAATGAAAAATATATATTATTATATTAAAATAATATATTTTAACCGTTTTTACGTGATTTTACAAAGAACATTTTTATTAATAAAGGCGTATTTGTATGGTATAAACGTCGCGTGTAAAAAACGAATTATGTGATATCATCGGAGATTCATGTTTGCTTCCGGCATTTTAGGGTGTTATTATCCGCAATTACTGAAGTTTTCAAAATTTATTAATTATATTTTTAATTGGCTACAGAAACTATGTAATATCGCAAATTAATCATCATAACCTCCAAACCACTCCAAACATGCTGAATGACAGTTTTGTTTATTTATTAAATTTCAGAGATGCCAACCTATAAAATGTGCCATAATAATCTAAAAAGGTGTATGAAGTGAATAAACTTACTTCGAATAAACGAAGTAATAAAAGTAATAAAATCGATAAATTTCATCAAAATTAAGCGGTCAATTTATCTTAATAAACATTATACAAATGGTACTTTAAATTTGGTTACCACCTAAATATTTATTTTATGATTTATAAATGTTTGACAAATTATAAATGATTTAATAAATTAATTATTAAAAAAACAATAATATAAATATTTGTTATTTAATTTATTTTTATTTTTGAATTTTCTAATTATAGTATTGGTTAATAGATGTCACTTAATGGTTAATGACTAACTTGAATATAGCTGTTTATCAAATATTTGAAAAGAAGCATGTTTAACGGTTGTGACGGTTAATCTTTGAATCCTTTGAGTTGTTTAAGACCTCATCTGTTCTTCCTCAGTGTTCTTTTTAGAAAATTTCAGCTAATAAAATGGATAAACCTACTTCTCGTTTACCATTGAAGAGAAAATTACCAATTTCTAATAACGAACAATCATCGTCAAATAAACCGCATTTAAACCGGCCCAAAAGTAAGTAAATCTTTGCAAACTCTCATATATGTCACGCCATCGTTATTTGTATCATATTTCAATTTGAAACTAAATTGTTGTTTTACAATACTGTAAGAGAATAATTTATTGGAATACTTTGGTTAAATACCGAATTTTTAATATTATTTCAAAGAAATGTCAATAATTAAGTTATAAGCTTAATTTTTGCCACTCCGGCTTTTATATATCTCCAGAGTTAGCAGACATTATGATAAAAGAAAAAACTGATTTGTATGGAATTTTGCACCAACTTTGAAGAGACATTGCTATGGAATTCCAAAGGAAAAATTAAAAAAGGTGAAGTAATTGTATATCAACAAGGATAAACTACGATTATGAAATGAAAAAACAAAGAGGATGTTTGCGTTCTTTCTACAATACCTAATACTGAAACAAAGGAAACTAAAAGAAGAAGAGTATTAAATTGATACTTTCTAGCCGATCAATACTTACCACAGTCTTGATACTTATTGTTATAACCACATATCTGATACTTATAAGTAAGATAATATGTATCTTACTACTCTTAAGATAATATGTAAGATAATTACTACAATTTTAATATTACTCAGGTTTGTTCTCTCTAAAATTTAGAGAGAATATAGGTTTTTTAGAGTCTAAATGATGTGTACGGTCTGAAACCAGTTATAATAGACATGTTTACACTGTAAACATTTATCTCCTATTTTGTAGTCATGTGAAATACAGTCATGTACAAATACAGTCAGTATATAAATACAATATAAGACAAATAGAAAAACATTCAATGACAACTTGCTTGCTATATGCTATACAAAGATTAAAATTTTTAACTGGGTTTTCCGTTATAAATTTATAAATGATTAAAAATGAAATAAAAGAAATAACACCAGAGCAGAATAGTCATACCAGACTATTTTATTTTAATTAAGTGTAAATATTCCTGTACTACAAAAATAATAAAACCTAAAAAAAAACAAACAATAATAACTAAATAAAAATTCAAAGCAATTTGTCACTCTTCTATATCACTACATTTATGTAATCGATTAATATTTACCTTACTTTTTCTGGACTAATTCTATTTCTTTCTGAAATAATTATTCCAGCTTTAGAGAATAGCCTCTCGCAGGGAACTGAAGTTCCCTGAAGTTGTTACACTATTTGTTTAAGGTATGGGAAATTATATGCGTGTTCACGCCACCATTTGAGTGAATCTTTATGTCTTGGCAATAGATCTTCTTCCAGGTATATTAACTATTTAATTAACTTATTAACTATTTCGATTATAGTCCTGGAATTAGAATGGTGGCTTTTAGGTTTTATGATATTTCATCTTCTTTATTATCAACATTTCCATCAAATTGGACATCTTCCTGCACGTCGTCGTGCATGAAATGATTTTTCTTGTTGACTGCAGTATTTTTGATTCTACAAGCGGCAATTAGTGCTTTTTTGGCATTTTCTGCCAAATTGTTGGTTAACAAATCCAATCAATTTGAATCGCAGATCTAGAAATGTCGAAACAGCTTATGTATTGCACATTTATATATTATCAAATCTACTAATCAGCTGAGATGTTATTTTTATGAATGTTTCTTGTATGATCATCCTTGATAAATTTTTATGAAAGTTTTTCGCAAATATCAAGTCCATTCGCTAAAGGGATTACGAAAGATCCTGTGGCATAGTTTTCTCCACTCATAATTTTAGTAATTTTGTCGAATGGTTTTAGAATCTCGCATAATTTTTGGAACATTTTCTATTCATCTGAACTTAAGACAGAAATGTCTACATCCAATATTGCTATGGTACTTCTAATGGCTTCTAATTCGACAAATCGGCTCAACATATAATAAGTCGAATTCCAGCAAGTCGAATTGTTGTAAGATGTTTCCACCAAATATCTTACAACAATTTTAATGGCGTTTTTCCGGAATTTTCGTGATAAATCCTTTTAAAGTGGGAGACGATCCTTTTTATTTTTCATATCAGTAGGGAAATATGAGATGTTTTCAAACAATTTTGCAATACTAAATTTATTGAGTGAGCAAAACATCCAAAATTGTTCAGTTTTAGTTCAGCTGTAGTAGCATTTTTAATATCTGATGCATTGTCAGAAACAAGTAGTATAACTTTATCTGCTATATTTAATCTGCAGTTATTTTTTTAATTTCAATAGCTAAGTTTTTACCCGTATATGGTGTCCTTCCATAATTTTACACTCTAGTAAAATCGTTTTCAATTCAAAGTTTTTATTTATCATTTGCGCTGTTAAAGCTATATAACTTTTGGTGTTTATGGAGGTCAGTCTATGGTGGTGAGTGATTTTAAAAGGTATGTCCACACCAAACAAACACAGAGGAACATTGTGTTCCTGATTGTCGTAACCTGTTTAGGAAGCAGAAACAATAACAAATTTATCGTAAACATTTTGTCCACACCGAGAAAACTCATTTTAGTCGCTCATCACTGTCAGCCATCCACCAAAAGTGGTTGGCTGACACTTATACCAGTAAACACTCTGCCGACAGGGCCTCGTTGGTTGTCTAAGTTATCATTGGGGCCCACATTATAGTATGTTGCCCCTTGCACCGCATATGGAAATTGACTCCCAAGCCTACGTTAAAACCAACGTGACATATGTGATTGTTTGAAAGATGATGGAATTTGAAAATGGTAGTCACACAACAACTTTCTGAATGTTTGCTTCTTTTGCGAAGAATTTGCTTGCTGACGCAGTGGTGTGGTTCATTGATCAGGCTTATTTCCATACCTCAGGATATCATATCTCAGCGATATCATTTTATGAAAGGCCTCCTCATTCGAATTGGGCCACAGTTAGGACTGCGGTATTAAGGCAGATTGGTAATCATTGGGACACATTTTTTTTTCGAAGAGTACAAACGCACGGTAACAATAAATTCGGAGCGTTATGTGGACATGCCTGGCAATTTTTTTCTGCCAACTCTTGAAAATACTGTTGTTGGCGAAGTATGGTTTCAGCAAGATGGAGCGTTTGCCCACACATCACGAATTTCAATTCATGTTATGAGAGAAAGTTTTCCAGGTGATATCTCGTGGCCCGCACGTTTGCCAGATTTAGCCCCATACCTCAAATTGAAAGAAATCAACCGTCTTGCAACTCTGGAAGCAGTATAAAAAGAATATGTTACGTTGGAGAGAGTCCACTTGCACTTCAGAAATGGGCTACAACAGTACAACAGTCGGCAACAACGGTGGAAGCAGTATAAAAACAATATGTTACGTTGGAGAGAGTCCACTTGCACTTCAGAAATGGGCTACAACAGTACAACAGTCGACAACAACGGTGGACACTTGCCAAATTTCTTTTTAGAACAATCTGATCCCAAATTGACACCAAACTTTCCATGTTAGTTCATAATGCTAATAAAAGAAAATTTTAAAATGTAAAACCTTTTATATAAGTGTACATTACTGTTAGTAACGTCAATAAAATAATTTAGTTGGTTAACTAGATAACAAAAAATAATTACTTAAATATATATTTAACGAATTGTATTTGTTTTTTCTTTTAAAGATTTGAGACGTTCTAAATCAGTTACTGATTTGAAGCTATCGAAAGGTTTGGAATCAACATCTGTTGTAACATTAGGAAAACGACCAGCCCCTGTTATGAAAGCACCAATCGTAAAACCACCGAAGCTAGTAAAAGCGAATCCTAAACCGGAAAAAGAGAATAATAGTAAGCCACATCCTCGTATAGCACCATACGATTACAAAGGCAGATTCAATGCTTTATCTGAACGTTTTGACAAATTCAAAGCTGCTCATCTGACGTGTAAAGACACACAAAATTCGTATGAGGACTTGTCAAAGAAATATGAATCTCTAAAAGACGAATTTGATGAAATGAAACCTAAATATGAATTACAATATGCCGAATTAAGCAAGTATAAAAGTGACTGTAAGGATTTAAAAAAAGAAGTGACGAGTTTAAAAACAAAATTACAAAAGAGTGATAATGTAGTAAAATATCTTCAAATTCAATCTGAAGAACAAGAAATTAAAATAGAAAAATTAAACGATACCAATCAGAAATTTGAACTAAGATTAGAAGATATGGGCAATTTGATAGATAAGCAGCGGAAAAGAATTGAAGAAGCCGATAAAGAACGAAGGGTTTTACATAATTTGGTCCAAGAACTAAAGGGAAATATACGAGTATTTTGCCGGGTTCGACCCCCGTTGTCCACTGAGGATCAACGACTAACTCTCGACGTTAATTATAATTCTGATAAAATTGAAATTAGGACGCCACAAACCTCCAGCGTTAATGCTAAAACAAACGCACCTCTTGTACAGGAATTTTCTTATGATGCTGTCTTCCCACCTAGAGCAACTCAAAAAGAAATTTTTGAAGATCTAGATATGCTTGTACAGTCAGCGTTAGATGGTTACCATGTTTGTGTATTTGCTTATGGACAAACCGGATCAGGAAAAACATATACTATGCAAGGAAATCCCTCGGAAAATGACCGTGGTAAGTATCAATCAAACATGATTACAGAAATCATATCAAAAATTTTTTTTTTTAAGGTATGATCCCGCGGTCAGTCGAATCTCTATTTAAAAGAATATCAGATTTAAAGATAGCGGGTTGGACGTATGAAGTAGAAGCAAGTTTCTTGGAAGTGTACAATGAACAAATTAAAGATTTGTTGAATCCATTATCAAAATTACCACATGAAATAAAATACAACGAAGGAAAAGGAGTTATCGTCACAAATTTGGAAATAAAAACTGTCAAATCAGATTCTGAATTGCAAGCATTAATATCTACAGCTGATCGAAACAGGGCAGTAGCCGTGACGAATTATAATGAACATAGTTCAAGATCTCACTCTGTCACCAAGATCACCCTCCGTGGAGTTGGTGACAATAACACGACGATTTTAAATGGGTCGATAAACTTAGTTGATTTGGCAGGTTCGGAAAACGCGAAGTTGAGTGACACTATAACAGAAACTAAACATATTAATAAGAGTTTGGCTGCACTTGGAAATGTAATGTTGGCTTTGCACAATGGTAATCGACATGTTCCTTACAGAAATTCGAAGCTGACTTATTTATTGGGTTCTTGTTTAGGGGGCAATTCTAAGACATTAATGTTTCTAAATATTGCCCCTTTCCAGGATTGTTTCTCGGAAACAATAAACGCTTTGAGATTTGCACAACAAGTAAAAAATGTAAAAATGAATTTTAAAAAAAACAAGTGTATGTTATAGTTTTAAAAATATTAGCATTTTAATTTTAAATATTTTGAATTGTATTATTATTTATGTATAGTTACGTTATTATTAAGTATTAACAATTTTTTATGTTTAAATATATAAGTAATTTTTTTAATGAGAGAGACAAAATAAAGGGTAATGTGTGAAAAGGAACAATATGACAAATGTACATATCCACGGCTAAACGAAACAGGTCGATAGCTGCGAGGGATTACAATGAGCATAGATCAAGATCTCATTTTATATTAGGATTTATATTTTAAAGATTTTAATACGGAAACAGCGGTTTTAAGTGATTCAATAATCTTACAATTAATTGATTTTGTTAGTTTGAAAAACAGTGACGTTACAATAACAGTATCTGACTATATAAATAAGAGTTTATATATTCTCATAAAATTAAACCATATAGAAATTGGAAGTTAGTATATTCATTGGGGATTAGAAAACAAACTTGAAACCTTAATATTGTTTCAATGTAAGTGACTTTTATAGTTAATAGTTTTGAATTCAATTGTGTTGTGTAGATACATTATTACAAATTTTGAATTTAATTTAACAATTTAAGTATTGATGACTAACCCCCTGGTGGAATATGCTTTAAGAGAAAGATTACGAGAGAAATGTACTATAATTGCTATACCAAAAAATGAAACGTTTTATGCATCTTCATGAAAACAAAAATTAATGTTTTGTGTGCTTGTGATCTTAGTTTTATTTGTATCTTAATAATATGCGTTACTTTGTTATGTGAATTTATATATCTAACAATATTTCTTTTTTATCCTGTCAGAGAATTATGATAAAATAAATAAGTTGTTAGAAAAGCGACTCAAAAGAAAACTCGCTTATATTCCTTAAGACTCGCCTATCTTTTCATCTACCATAAGAGCCTCCTGCGAAACCACCAAACAAAGATATTTCAGACAAATGTAAATATTGTTATTTATGTCCTGTCCGGCGGTACAGAAAAACAAAATATATGTGCTATCAAACCGATATACGTAATATATGTAAAGAATGTATAAAAGATAATTATTTAAACACTTTTTCTAACATAAACATAGGTCGTTAATATATAAATTTAAATGAGAAATCTCCCTTGCAAGCCTCTTGTTTTTTTGAAGAAGTCGTTTCTTCATAAATGTTTGTTTAAATAACACTAGATTTTATTGACCATGAGTAACATTGTACTAATACTAATTAAATTTAATTATGTTGCCGATTTTGTTTGCATCATCATCAATTTTTTATTTACAATATTCAAGAATACTTGTATGGTTGCTTTCAGGCAACCGTTTTTATAATTGATGGTTTTGTGCTTATGAGTTATAAAACGTTTCTAAAAATGTGTATACGGAGTATCATGGCATAGCTGACATTGTTACAGTGAATCTGCAATTTGTTTAGTGATAATTTTTTTTCTGGAATTGAAGGGATTCAACTTTATTATCCACTTCCGTCATCTGAGGTTCGTTTTCCCCAATTGCAACCCGTCTAACAATAGGTAATTTCCAATCCTACTTTTACATTAATTCCGTCACCTGTACTTACCTCACAGCCAAGTAATGGTATATCGCCAATAAGATAACTGAAAGTCATAAAAATTTGTTATTGATCTTGATTGTTTAGACATGCGCAGATCTTAACAGCGTAGGTAAGTAAAATTCTCTGATTGCCCTCAGTAAACGATGTTGCGCTTCATTGCGTTTGCAGTGATGACAATCTATTGGGATTTTACCAAATGCGTCCAGGGCATATACAGAGAACTAAAATTTTATCATGCTATGGCCAACTTAACACAGATAAGGTTAACATATTGGTAACATAAATTTCAAAACTGCATACGGTAACCTTTTTCTGTTTTATCCTTGTCCACAGAGGGGCATCAACACGGAATTATAATCTTTAGGGACTACAATTCTGCTTAAATATGACTCTTGGGTGTGGTTGGGTTGGAGATACCAGAAGATTCATCAGCAATCCAGTAGCTTCCAGAAAACGAAAATAATTAAAACGACATTGTAATTATTTGGTTCTCGCGTTTACATCACGTCATTGTGGACACAATAAGCTTTCCCTTTTCTCTATCTAGAGAAGAAAGAAACCGGCTATTTATTTGATTTTATTATATATACTGGCGCAAAAACAGAACTTTATCCTGATAATGGAGATATTGGGTTAGCTTCATCTAGGGAGATGAAACCCTACTTGGATCAACACCACGTATTGTTGGTTGACTACCATATCAGTTAGTGCTCGATTTTTTCAGTATTTATATAAAAAGTAAGTAGTACTATAGACATATAAAAAGGATAGTACGGTGAAGTTAAACAGAAAAGGGATGACCATGTTTAAGGAAAAGTAAATACCACAGTAAATAAAGCAATAATGAAGTCTACTGTAAAGGAAAATTACAGAACAGGGAAATAAGTACAAAAACGCGAGTGTGTACTAGAATATAATAGGTTTGTTCCAACAAGCCGTCGGACTCGTCCGTTACTCGTCAAATGCAATCGCACATGTCAAGTAATGTCGTCACATTTCAGCGGATTTCATAGCATTATTTAACTGTGCGATTGTATTTGACGAGTCCACGACGAGTTAAACCGCTGGTTGGAACAAACCTAATATAAAAATGGGATCGGTTCAGAAAATAAATCGTCTACCTTTTGGAACAGGAGTAGAAAATGCATTAAGATTGACCTAAAGGCATTTTTCAAGCCATGTTCCACCACCTGCTGCTTAAAAATCACGGACCCAAAGGCGTTGTCATGTTTGCAGCATAACAAAACCAAGAAAATGTCAAAAAGGACACAAGGTTTATGACTGTGTTTCTGTGATTTTCACGAAATATTGAGATATTTATTTTTGACTATTTGAATAATACCTTTATTTTCGCAAATCTTTAACTTTTGAACGGCAACAAGATAGACGTCCCGGGAAGTTTTACATTCAAAGTTGTAGCCCATTTTCTTTATTGTTATTTTGCTATCATTTCCTTAGGTTTGAGGCTCTTATTGAATAAAACAAAAATAATTGAATTTAATCATTTATAGCTGCATCAAATTATAGTCAAACTGAACATGTGGAGAAGTAAACATTTCAAAAACATTATTTTATTAGATAATTTAAAGTTTTCAATAGGGCCGTTAAAGTTAATCGATTACAAAGACCGTCTTTCAAAAAATCGATAATCTAAATTAAATTAGACGGATTAGTAATGTTTTCACGTTCGAAAACTGTTTAATTTTTGCAATAATTAATGTAAAAGTTTAAAATTCCTGGCCCCCGACTCCAGATGACGTTTTAAGTAAGAAGGAAGAAACCACAGACGTTCAAAATGTTTCTTTTGTGAGGGGTTTTCTTCTAGCGCATAAGATTTGTAGCATTGTCTCTCCAGGAATTTTATTGATTTTTATACGCTCCAATCGTACGCTCAAATCTGCGTCCTGTAATTTCAAACTTTATTTTTTTTTTATGGAAAAACTAAGCCTCAGAATCAAAAATTAAAAAATATAGGGTCAATCAATTTTAAAAAACTTTCGAATAATATTTTTGATTCATAAAAGATCAAATTGCAATCTTAAATGAGTGCATTCTAGTGTCCCTTCACATTATTCCAGTCCAATGATCGAAACCAGTGCTGGAATTCCACTGGAATCACCCATTATGCAACAAATTTTTAAGCAATAACACTATGACACCATCTAAGCTGGAGGATTACTTGAGAAGATCTCACCTAGATGAAACAAGTTAAGATTTGAAGAGAGACTCACAATGGACAAAATGTTCCCTTCGACGTCACAAAGAGATGGTGATGGTTTGCGAGTGTCTTTAATATCTTGCAAATTATAGCAAAATCCGGAGTTATGAAATTGAAAGGTCCTTGTGTAATTGTTTACAAACGACCAATTTCTCTATACAACTGGGCGAATCAACCTTACCTGGTAATGAAGCATTATTATCGCAATATGTTCGTTGCTGTTTGTGAGAACAGAGACATGGCGAATCAATATTTAATGTTTTGAACGAATTAATGGAAAAAGCAATTCCTTTATCAAATATAAAATCTGTAGAAACAGATGGGGTACTTGCCATGGTTGGACATTACCGTAGATTTGTAAGCCATTTAAAACAAAATGTACCCGGGGTGTTAGAAATACACTGCATTATCCATCGACAACATTTAGTTGCTAAAAAGCTGAGTGATAGATTGTAATTTGTCATTAGCGCAGTAAACTACGGTTATTTGCTCAGTTGTGGGAAAAAAACTTAATCAATAATTTGTAAATTCTACGAATTATGATCAAGCATGATTTAAACTTAGCTTCTTCTGTACACATTTTCAGTTGTATAAAACAAACGCAACTTAATTTCAAGATTTTCTTTATGATTTTTTTTGATCATTTTGATATACGTCCATAATTGATGTGGATAAAGTAGGCAAATAACGCTAATATACTAAAAGTCTTATTTTACTTGGTTATAAATAATAATTTAACACTTAACATATATAATAACAACATGCATATTATTTAACAACCGGTATTAAATTATTTAATTCCAGTATTTGTATTATTTAAATAGCATTTAATAACCATCATGTTTGTTCAACTTAGTAATTATTAAACAATTTATTATTTTAAATAATTTATTCTTTTAAATCTATTTTTATTCTAAGATTTACGCCAAACGTGTTATTCAGAAGCTACTATTTCAACCTTTTTTATTCATTCTTTATACACGATATGCATTTACAACGCATTCAGGGAAAATAAACGTTCGGATAAATTTAACTCAATGCAATTTATGTTCGACGATTGTAATGAGCAAACGGTTTCTTCTTAGAATGTGAATATAGTATTTCCTGGCGATACTATTTATTACATTGTGGTTCAATAACAGAATTGAACTTTCCCATTTTAATTTATAAATTTATCTAATAATAATTATCTTTTAATAAATTTATATATGTTTATGTATTTATTGATATTGCATCAATCTTTCAGTTAAT